GACCGTCATCCGCAGGGCCCGGCCGTTATCTGCAGGGCCCGGCCGTCATCTGTAGGGCCCGGCTCTCATCCGCAGGGCCATTTTCAGGTGAGACACCTATAGGGCCCGGCCGGCCATCCGGGCAGTGGTTAGGACGGACCACAGGATAGGCGTCCGTCCAGGGCAGAGTTCCAGAAACCGGTGTCCGTCCCGTCCGAAGCCAAGGACGGACGGACTGGACGCTTGGGAACACTGACATCACCTCCCACGGTGCCCCCCACTCAGGGGCCGAATTTCAGGACGCCCTCTCCCAGGACTCCGCCGTGGGGCTCGACCCCATTGTTTGCCCGGAGCCGGTTGTCTGTCCGGAACCTGTGGTCTGTCCGGACCTCATCCACTCCCCGGATCACGTCAATTACGACCATTGGAACATGGCTGTACACTACTTCGATTCCCTCCGGGAATGCAAAAATGAAAAGAGGGCGCTCGAGGATCAGATCCATGTGTCCGAACTCGAATTAGTGCGGTGCAAGGGTGGAGAAGATGCTTGACGAATCGCTGCCTTTTTCAATCATCTTTTTAGTTAGAAATTAAATCAATAGATACCCCCCTACTATTAATTGTGCTACTGGTGAAATCTCGTGAAATCCACTATCTCCGCCAGCCCCTAACGTTAATATCTAGATTCTAAGTCAAAGGTTTCCTAAGACGAAGGATTAGTGCTTTCCTGACATAGTATAGCCTGAGTCACTTGGCCCCACTGTTTGTTGGAAAATGGCTTCAATGTGTCGGAAGTATCCCTGGTAATTAGGGCCTTGTGGGAACTCGCATCATTGATACTATATCTAGATAGATACCTCTCACGGGTATGGGGACCATCGTCTGGTACCCAAGTATCATAGCAATGTACAAGGGACAACGGACGATTCTGATCCTTCGTCTACAAACGTACTCTTCTCACGTTCGGTGAAGTCTTAACTTCTAGTTCAATCGCTCACCTCACATACGATATATCTGACATTGTTGAGTATGAATAATACGAGTGGGAGCTGATGATCTCGATATATCTAGGGATGAAACAGGGGTGGGCGAATAGCGTGATGGGAGGTTTGAGCAATAGCCGGTGGTATAGGCGAAACTCTAAAGGAGAGATCATAATTACTGCGAAAGATATTCAGACAGGGCATTGTTGGATCATGATAAATTTATCTATTTATCTACTTAAAAAACCTCCTACTCGGGCATCCCAAAATACCAAACCGGGAAAGAAAAATGAAAAGAATCAAATCAAATAAAGAACCAATGAAACCCCGAGGTAAATCCTCCAAGATTGGAGGCAAAGAAGAAGAATAACAGTTCCGAAAAACAGAAAAATCCGCCCCAATAAGAAAGACTCATCTTAAGTCTATCCTGGACCGTGGGGAAAGGAGGTCTAACTCTAATATCCGGGGGCGGGAAGCTTGAAGCCTCCTGAGATAAGGTTGGTAAAAGTTCCAACGGATTATAATCCTCTTTGACGCGGCAGAGGAAGTTGATGTTTCCTTCGCCGTAGGCTTCGATGACCTTTGCGTCATGGCCGGCGTAGGACCACATACTAAGAGGGGAGGGGTTTTAGCATTGTGAGAAAAGTAATGGGGGAGAGACATAGATGTATGGGTGGCGAACATTCCGCTGCTCAGCGAGACTCATCATCGACTCGACGAATATAGTGAAGGCTGAGAAGATTGTATCTGTGTCGGAGGGATTGTTGAAGGTTAAGCCAAAGTACAGGGCTATCAAACATTAGTATTAATTCCACAGGGCAAGCAGAAGGGAGGGGGCATGGCAAAGTCCGGTTGCCAGCACCTTCCATGCCGAGGATGTTTCTGCCCTTGAGAACACCCTGCTGAACAGCATTAGGTGTGACAGACATGTTAGAGTATAGCCCGTAGAAGCCGGGAATCTGTTTGTATCCCTGAAGCCAGACCTGGAATTGATACCACAAGTCGTGGAAGAATAGTTTATCCACGTAGACCTTGAATGTCCTCTGCACCTGAACAAATCCGGAGGCGGATCCGGCGTCAAACTCAGTTGCGAGGTCAACACCCTGGATCGGGCGCATAGTGTTTTTGTACGGCTGAGCGTTGACCCGGGGTTGGAGAGCGGGGGGGATGGAATTTAGCGCGCTGTTGTAAAAGATGGGGAAGAAGTTGATAGTCTCATTGGTGGTCCCATTGAAACCAAATTTGAGGGAGAACGTGGGTCTTTACATCGTTGACTGCAATATCTACGTGGTAGTCATAGAGGACGCCCTCGAGCTGAGACAACTGGGAGCAGTTACAATAAACCATACCACCCCAAATCCAGTCGGGGGTGTCAAGGGTAATGAGCTCGTATCTGGTGATGAAACCAAAGTTATCGCCACCACCCTTAAGCGCAGGGTGAAGATTGGGGTCAGAGGTTGAATTAGCCTAGATAATGGTACCATTGTACAGGACAATTTCATAAGTCTTGACGTTGTCGATGGCTAGTCGTAACTCATTTCCGAAGGAGAGGCCAGCACCCAAGAGCAACCTGGTTCCGACGGGGTAGTAACGGTTGGCGACAACAGCTTCATGGTAAGGTCCGAGGTAGCCGTAGACCACGCCTCAAGTGAGTCCATCACCGAGCAAGAGAGAGTTTTCGTTGTTGAGTGTATGCTCGTTGAGCCCTTCGGTGACGATGAGAATGCCGTCGTTGGTGTTTGGGGCACCGGGAAGGGCAGAATGACCCCCTCCACGGACGGCAAACTTGCATTAGTAGTCGGTAAAAAGCTTCATGGCCTGGGAGCCCTCCTGCGAACTAGTTGGGGAGAAGATGCAGCTTGGGGAAAGGACGGTGGAAGTTACTATTTTCATCGAGTCAGATAGTGAAGATCTAACCCGGGAATGCAACAAACATACACTAATAATCATTATTTACTGTGGTATAATTGGAAGTTCCAATGCTCAGGATATTGACCGGGAGAGCAGCTTCCAAGAGATAGCACTGCAAATCATCATCACCATCACCACCAGCATCACACCCGGCAGCAAAAACTATTAGAAAAGGAAACTCACGCAATTAGCAGCCGGGAGTGCAGCAGGGCTAAGCCCATAAAGGGCACCCAACGGAGCAAGTAGCTTAACAATGTTTGGAACTGTCATTTGTAGAAATTCGCCAACTTATTAGCGGGTGCTTCGAAGGTGTGGAAGATGAGACTTATGATGAGAAAGAGAGAGTCGAGAGAAATAGGCTTCTTTATATAAGATTCCGTGCACTGGAAGAGCTCGCACGGTGGAAGAAATGTTAAAGCTCCCATTTCACTCCAAACTGTCCCTCGCCCCTACTAATGATTGTGAGTGGTAGCTGAGGACCACAGGAAGTGGCCCAGCTGGAGACTAGTCCCTGACAAGCCCCCTGTTGGTGCTTTCACCGTCGTCTCTTTCCTATGGTCTGTCCTTGAACTCATCAGAAATTCAGAGATGGTTAGGCTCGGGTGATTCGGCCTAAGAAACATGAGTGCGTGATTGCTGAACATTGTCACGATCGGTAGTGTGTTGAGGAAAGATCTTCACAATTCCTAACCTCAATTTGAGTTCCCGGGCCTGCTCTGGAGTCATCGGATAGAGTAAAGTTGGGACAGAATCTTACCGGGGAAGCGATTAGTCCCCGTAGGTGAGGCTCCTCCCAGGATCCAACATCTCACAACTTGTCTCCACCCCTGCATGCGATGGAGTGAGTGAGCCTCATCATCCAGGAGTTGTACAGAACCTATTCCCCAAAATTAGCCAAATTACTGTAGTAGATTAGGGGTTGTACTGTGCCTGTCTATAGTATATAGTAGAATATTCTAATACTCAACTATGCCCCGCGTCCTGAAAACCGAGCCAGGTGCTCAGGATGGGATAGATTTGAAAATCCGAGTAACCCGGTACCGGGAATGGCTTGGATCCGCCGATCAGTTGGAAATGCTTGGCGCACGTGTCCGTGTCAAGAACCCTAACCGAAGTCCCAGGGATCTGGTCTGCCCTAATTGGTGAGCCAAGACTACCATGCTTGTATCCAATTGACAGGAGCCGCATGGGTGCCTAGTGCCAGGTATTGATACATTTCTGTCGCAGCTAAAATTGCCTTGCTGCAAGCTTGCACTAGAGCGGATACCGTAGTAGACTGCTGCGTTATTTCTAATATCGAAAAAATACCCCTCTATTCGACTACTACATTAGCTAACGAGGTATCTCTAGAGGATGTTTTTTTTTGATTTCGTCAGAAAGTCTTTTTTGCGCATCAGCTTCTGCACTTAATAGCTTAACAACGAGTATCTGTGGGCCCTTGCTTGGCAGCCTTATCTTCCCAAAGCAGCGTTGTAGGTCGGCAAAACAACTAGGGAAGGTACTTGTAATTAATATTCCCATGGTCGAGTCTACTAGCCACAGTATAGAGAAAAGCTATTTTCGGTTGCATTTGTTATGCCCTCGTATAGGTGTCAGAACCTACGCGTAAGTGAGGAGTACCAACTAGGATCTCATTGGGGAGGGATAGCGGAGAATGCTCACCAGTCCTTAATCGTGATAGTGACTCGGCGTCATCTTGTCTAGACCTAAGACCTAGGTCAATTCACGGTCGGGGCCCGGGACTAAAAAGAAAGGTCAGCAGTACACTGTTCTCCCCTCAAGTAAAAGCGCCGAAGATCGGTGCACAAATTCGGATAGACGGGGTCCCATGCCCATGTCTACTGTGTGAAAACTGTGATTTTTTGTTAGTTGAGATGAACAGGCTGGGGAGAACTGCCGGGCGGGGTCATGACAAATAAGGTAGACGAATTGAGCTGGACGGAGGTGTTTTTATGTTCTGACAAGGAAAAAGAAGAAGCCGGGGCTGTTCCGTGCTCCCCATAGCGGATTCGCGGGGCCTGGAGGGGATAGTTTTAATCTTGTCATTACGAAGCTTTGCTCGAGTGTATTGTCCGTTTAATTGAGCACTTGGGTATGTATTCCAGACACTACCCATGGAGAGCGCTACCGAGCTGAGGTTTAACAGTCCAACATACTAGCCACTATACTACCAAAGACTCAGGATAAACTTTGAACTCAGACAGGGCTATTTCTGCTACAACCAGGGAATGTTTCACAAACAAGGCCCCGGTGGCTGTCTCCGCCAGCTATGATGGTTTGGCCTTACGACCGCCCCCCCCCCCATTTATCACCCGCCTTGCCGTGCGGAGGTATAGCGCCTAAGTTACGTTAGCACGGGGTAAGATAGAAAATTGGAGAAAGGAGAGCGAATTTGGTATGGTGGTAACCTAATTCAATTTCCTACCCCCTGCCAGCCAAACATCCCCCTCTAGTAAAATATACAAAATTTAGGCGCTGCCCCCGTAGTACAGTACGCATAATTCTCTGGAGGAGGAATCTAACCACTACCATAAAAATCATCGCTACCGATCTCGATAGTGTTTACTTCTCTGCATATGTGGATTGCACTTCCGCCGCCAAGGAACAGGTTCATTCATTACTACTGCCAGTATGAGCAGCCACATCACCAAGAAGACCACCGTCAATCGCCTTTGTGAAGATTGCTTGATGCTAGCTGTCCACCCAACAAGAATAGGGAAATCCATGGGTGGGTAGACAGTTTTCACAGGTGGCTCGGAGAAAGCTTCACCATCATTCTCAACGGTGTGAACGAATGCTGGCAATCGCCTGCCCTGTAACTAGTCCACACCCACCATCGAACACATTTGTTACGATAGAGTCGCGGCGAATCATCTTATCAGAAAACTACAGCCAGTAGTAAACTTGTTTGATTCTATTGTTCCTTCCCTCCATTACCTCGCCGATAGATGCGGAGCAGGTCTCAGAATGATGGCGGAACCTGAGTGGTCAGCATGGGAACTTCCCCTGTATGAATGCTAGTGCGAATTATAAGTACTTTACTGTTGGTTCGGAGTAGAGCCATGTTCGATAACAATAATGTGGTGTTTTCTTCACAGTGGCTGGAGGCTACATACAGCGAGTGAGCGCACTTTGTGCACCCAACACGGAAAACCCTAATAAGAAGAAGACACTATTGAACCCCACACAACCCCTACGCCTGCCATGCCCTAAACTAACTCCTGTATCACACTCTAGCAATTATCAGACAGAATTCCATCTCTCTAGTATATATCAAGTGAATTCGGGCCTAATGTGATTTTCATAGTAACGTCTATTGCCGTCCAACAGAAAAATAAGTTTCACATGCCCAAGGGCCACAGCCCACGAGAGTGGCGTCCGACCTTGTTTGTCGGCTATATAATAAGAGAGGTAGTCCCGTTCCAGTAGTATCTTCACGGTCTCCTCATGTTTAAACTGCACGGCTATGGCGAGTGGGCTTTGGCCATCTTCATCACATATGGGAGCAAATATGGCTTGATTGAGGTGGTTCCATTCTAGTAGCATCCTCACCACTCCAGTACGTCCATACCGCGCTACACACCATAGTGGTGTCCGGCTTTGTTTGTCACCTGTATTAGGATTGACGTTGTTTTGTCCCAGTATTATCCCCACAACTTCTACATGTCCAATCTCCGCGGCAAACGAGAGTGGTGTTCGGCCATCTTCGTCCGCGAGATCAGGATCAACATCGTTCCGTTTGAGTAGCATTCTCACAACTCCATCATGCCCTTTCGCTGCTGCCCATGACAGCGGCGTTCTACTCCAATTATCGGCAACTTGGGGATTGACCTTACTTTGCCCTAGGAGTACCCTCACCACTTCAGCATACCCGTTGAAAGCGGCACCCAAGAGCGGCGTTACGCAATATTTATCAACTGTATTGGGATCGACATCATTCAGTTCCAGTAGTATCTTCGCGACTCCTACGTGCCCCTTCCTAGCCGCCGCTAACAGCGGTGTTAGGCCATATTCGTCTCTTCGGTGGGGATTAACATTGCCCTGCCCCAGTAGTACTCTCACCAATCCTTCATGCCCTTTTGCAGCAGCCCACCAGAGTGGTGTTCCGCCAAATATATCAGCTGCATCGAGATCGACATCATTCCTTTCCAGCAGTATCTTGACCACTCCTTCATGGCCGTTCAAGGCCGCCCTTGCGAGTGGTGTTTTGCCCTCTGGGTCGTCGCGCTGGGGATTGACGTTGCTGTGCCCTAGTAGTATCCTCGCGACTTCCTCATGCCCATTCATAGAGGCCCACCAAAGTGGTGTTCCGTCATATCGATCAACTGCAGTGGGATCGACATCACTCCTTTCTAACAGGATCTTCACGACTCCTTCATGCCCGTACTCAGCGGCCCTTGACAGCGGAGTTCGGCCATCTTCGTCGGTGCACTGGGGATTGATGTTGCTCTGTCCTAAAAGTATCCTCACAACTTTCTCATGCCCATTCATAGCGGCCCACCAGAGAGGTGTTCGGCCAATGATGGTTTCAGCTGTTTAAGGTGAGCGCTACTTTGCTATAGTAGTATTCTCGCAACCTCTGAATCTTATGGCGTGCTTCTAGTTGCGCTTGCTGTGCCCCCTCGTCACAGTGGAGCTCGTTTTCGTAGTTTCAGTCTGTTCGAGTCAACTCTGGTGTTGGAAGGCAGGTACGGTACTGGAAGCCACCTCTTTTATATCTTCCTGGAGGCTATTTTCCAGCAGTGATCCCTGTGGGGGGCACTACTAGCCACTATAGTTGTCCGGTGTGCTAGGGATCGTAAAGGAGACCTGAAGATTTCTAGAATTGGTATGGCGTTGTACAGGCCACACTGATTTCGGTAATCTTCAGCCGTAGGTGGTGGAACTTGGTTGTAGCGTCCTCGCGTTTATTGCGATGGTGGGGTGACTGCTATCTTCCTGTAGTACAGGAAGATAGCAGTCACACCGGACAACTATAGTGGTCTACTATAATCACTTGACAAGCTCCAAGCCCCGATTAGTCATGTCCCCCCCCCGCCCAGTACCATATTACGGGTATGATACTCTGGTGTGGGCTAAGGCGATCTCATAGGGTAGTTTAGTGGAGAGTGCTTGTCGGCCCATGAAAAACCCTGTGGTCTGGACAATGGACCGAACCGCCCGCTTGGGATCACTGACTGCAATGATAGTAGGTTGAATTTTGCAGTGAACGATATGCTCATAGTTCAATTTTATGCCAAGCTGTTTACAAGAAAAAATATCCCCTCACAGGATAAAGAAGAGAAAAGGAAAAAAGGTGTCCTTTACACGGACTAACACAGTGCCGGGCAGGGTGCAAAGTGGGAAGGAGCAATTGCAAAAGCCATTTCCACAAAATACGAATTCAGCAACAACTCCAAACAGAAGTCACCCCCACTAACCAAAGACTAAGCCTATTGCCATCCGTACAAAAAATCCACAACACTAACTAGCATCCATAGCATCCAGCACACTATATATCACACCTCATTGTATGCCACCCATCGCCGTATCCCCCCCATCATCGTCCCTGTTACTTATATCCGGATCTCCACCCTCATCCGAGTCCAGTGCCTTGAAAGGCCCAGCAAGGGCCATCGATTTCATTGTCTCCCTGCTATTCGGAACTGGTTGATCCTCAGGCCCTTTGCCTTTGGTTTAACATCTCTAGCTTTTGGTATGCTCTGAGCTCTGGAGTATTCGTTTTCACAGTCTTCTGGGATAATGAAAACAATGTGTATATTTTTAATAGTCGGCAATAATTCGCAAAGCTTCTTCACCCCACCAGCTTTGATATCATGGCTCTTGGAGATGGTGATTTGCAGTAGAATCAAGGTGTCCAAAGCACTAAACACAAGTCCATTAACCGATTCAAAGTTGGCATTATAAGGTAGGCAATATTTTCCGATCACTTCATGTTCGATATCCTGGCCACCCTCCACCCGAATCTGTGTGGCTAGGTTTTTGGCATCCATGAAGTGATTGGAAGATTCGGACCGAGATGTTGTAAATTCGAGGAGTGGAGTGTTGTGGTCTTCAATCGGAAGTCTAACAGCCTCAAAAGTTCTAGCATTCCTGAACCAGTCATGTGCGAATGCCTCGAACATCCAGCTGGCCACAGTTCGGAGTGAACGTTGGCGGGCGAGCCGATCGTAGAGCTCAAAACACATGAGTTGTGACCTCATCTGTGCCTTCTCATAGGCCTTGTGGGCAATCGATCTTGTAACAATGCGGATTTTGCATGACAGCCTATTACGGCTCTGAACCATAATAGCGATTCTATGTGAAGTACGCTGATGTACACTATTCTCTACTGTCTGGAAACCCTCCTGTGCCATGAATGTATCAATTTCACCGCCTATTTCGTCCAGGTAGGCATTGAAGGTACGATTATAGGCACTGTTGTCCGTCAAGGAGATTGAGTCTAAGCAGGTCCTGGCAATTAGGTCCAAAGATGTGAAGACTGTGAAGAGCATTGCAGTTTGGGCTGGCATAGGGGGCTTGAACTCTTCTAGACTATTATAAGATAGTTTGGTTAGCTTATGTCTTGCTTAGAAGGAAGAAGGAGCTGGTACGTGAAAGCTACTATAATCTCATCCCATCCCCAGTTGCCCATATAGCGTGACGCAACATTCCTATTCTTTTTCCACTGGTTTGAAGCTTTCACCTTGAGAGGCGAGGCCGCCAGCACCACAAACCAACTGTGGTTCTTCTTATTCCATCTTGCAACTCCAAGTGCCTTATCTGTTAGGATCCAAAGCCCCTTCTTTTGATCCTTGGGGAGGTCGAATAGGTAATTGGCATTGGTCTTAATGCGGTTGGAACTGCTATCAAACAAATAGCACTCGTCATCATCGGTGCGAAAAGCAGTTGGTTGACCAGCCAGAAGCCTGCGCACCAGGAGGTAAGAAACAAAAAAATATTTTCCCGTATATCTGTAAGAACGGGGGTCAGAAAAGGACTAATCCAAATACTACACACCTGAACCGGGTTGACCAGCTATTTTGAAATCGAGATTCAAGCCTCTCCTTGGGTTCCTAGTCTCTGGGTTGACATTTGTCTATTTCTTTGACTCAATCTGCAATAGATTGCGTTTGATTGGCTCATACTTTTGATGTACAAGAAGTCGCCGTCTCGTTCCACAAGGAAGCTCTGACCTGACCTGCAGCACCTTGAACACTTTCTCCGCCTTTCCTTTTTTAAATTCTGGATCTGGAAAGGCCCCATATCCTATCTCCTTAAGATTGACCTTGTATTCTGGACGGAAGCCGTGTCCTGGGTAGGGAGTAGAGAATGTGCGATTTTTGATGACCCGTAGCTGTTTTCCCCACAATTCATCACCGAGGCCCTGCATGGTGTCAAACGTATAAATGCCGTCGAACCTGGGACGATGGTAGAAGTTTGGTTTGTGATGGTAGTAAAAAGAATCACTCAGTTGTGTTGCCGGTTGATGGTTTATATGGCTGTGTTTGTCCGTGGATGGGTGCTGGTGGAGCGCTTTAGTAAGAAAAGTACTACAAGAGGGTAACCCCATTACCCGGCCTACCACACGTCACGATGTGCGCAGGCAAGAAACCCTTTTGAATACCATGGGCTTGGCAGTAAACCCTTCTGGATATGATACCATCCTAGGATAGTATCCAAAAGGTTTAACCGCGCAGGCGCTATGCTAAATATAGGAGATGTGAAGCACAACGGGGCCATCATCCGATCCTTCCAACTATCACCACACATATCCATTCTCTATCAGGTGTCTCCTCCCGCTTTCGTATTCCCATGCTAAGGTTGGAGCGTAGCCGTTCGGTATGCTTGCTACTGCTGTCACTCTCCGCCGTCGCTCTCTGTCATCCTTACCTGTAGCCGTTGGAAGGTTATCACCTACAGCTGTCGGAAGAAGGTTATCGTCGTTGGAAAGTACGAGGGTCCGGTAGATGCTACGATCATGGGAAAGAGGTCATTGTTATCCGGTGTCGTTACTTGTCACTGGAAAGCATGGAAGCCATCGGAAGGAAACAAGCTGGAAGTAGCAGATGCGTGAAGGCTAGGAAGCAGTGAGAGTTCTTTAAGAGGGTCTTTCCACTGTTAGCCTGGGAGTACGGAAGGGAGAGGGAGACATGTGTGGAGGAGGACGGATATGTGTAGTGACCGGTGGAAGGACCAGGGAGTGATATTTGATTTCTTATATACTCTTGGCCTTTCCCTTAGTTAGTCAAGTGCAAAACACATATCCTCCTTCCTCGCCTAAAGGTCTTGTTCTGCGATCGCCGTATCCCATGTCCAACCGCTACCGTCCTATCGCCGTTTGCGCCCGCGCCGTATTTCATTTCTCAAGCCGTTGAATGTGTCCCGCAACCTGCCCCGCTGATGCGGAAACAATGGAGCTAGGTGGTCGACTGCCATCAAACGGGGGTCATCATTGCAGGAAGGGCAAAGAAGCCTTCTGTTTCACCTGCGATGTTATCCTCTGCTATGAACAGTGGCGAAGAGAGGTGTACCGTTTGAGTTGCTATTGGGGCCATTAGTCTTGGTTTCGTTCATCTCCCGATAATTGGATTTCATAGACTGGTGAGGTATCTCCTTTGGTGAACTAGGATTCATGAATCCATACTCAGCCGCGTATTCGCTTAGACCCACGGTGCGAATGTGCTACAGGAACGGGAGGATGCACAATCCATTCCAGCATCACCAAGCAGGTCATCAATGGCTTCCTGCCTGGCCCCCTAATCCTGGGATGACCCCCCGGCATACTCCCCAAGGTGCCGACGGGGGACCGAACATACTAACAGAGCTTGCGGCCAGGGTAGGGCCTAGCCTATTAGAATACCTAGAGTAATTGGTCCACACGCTAGATACCCCGAGGTACGGTATCAGGCTCCAGGAGAGACTGCTAGACCCGGCCATTCGCCGGGTCTCCGAGGGGTGATGTGGCCCATTGCCCAGCTGTTGGGGGGGGGGGTTTGTTTACTAGCGGAGGGGGTTACTGGAAGTCAATACCTCGATAGCCCCGTGGCATCACAGAGGGTCACTCGGTCTAGAGGATTCAGGGTTCGAATATCTCGTCTGGGTAATAAGGAGGGTGGTCCACCCGAGGCATTTTCCACCAGTTCGTCACACCCTGTATCAGTGTTGGCCATATCCCATAGTAGTGCCTAGCGCTCGCCTGGAGGTCAGTCACTCACCCCTTATGAGTGTCGTCACGCCTCAGAGTGGTGCTCGCAGGGACTCTTCCCTAGGCGATGATTTTATATATTTGGCACTGCCGTGAACCCCTCGAGTAGAGTGCCTGCAATCAGGTCAGCAGGCCATAAAGCCTTTCGAATTAACCAGCGGAAAAGCCTACATATCACCTAACTTCGGTTCATATGGAATAGCCTTGCGTGAGGTTGGTCAGAACTAAAAGTTTACGATTCGGCCGTTAACTTAGGTGGGGTGGCTAAGCAAAGGTATTGGTGGCCGTGTGATATCTCTTATTGCATATTACGGTACCATCCCGATACTTGTATATTTGACGGATACACACTCAAAGGTTTAAAATGTTATTTAATTAGGAAAGCACAAACTATCCTCATGGACTATGTATTGACTTGTTCCCCTGCCAGCATAGAGCTGGGTGAAGCTATAGAATAGACTACGACTACGTCCCAGTCCGGACGACGTGGACGAGAGTGGACACGGCTATTATGAGGAGTACGAGATGCGCGGTGACGATCGTGACAATCAAGCCAACGGCATCTGCCAGAACGAAATCTGCATCGGTCGGGGTGCCGCGGTAGTTGGGGCAGGCATGGATGTTAGTGTGGGCATCAGTGACCCGTGATATGGCACGTCCGCACAAAGCCAGTGATATGGAACGGCCGCACGAAGCTGATTAGGAAGCTAATAGCTATATATTAACGACTTCCTCCTACCCAAGTTCCTTCATCTGATCAAATCCCTGTTCAGATCAGCCGCCAACCCAATGCAAGAAATCCCCCGTTTGTACTCAATGTTATACGAGTTGTAAAGCCATTTTCCATTGCTCCATGCCGCAAAAGGATATATAAAACGCAAAAGCAGATAACCCATCCTATCCGCACCAGAGCCAAAAGGAAAACCTGGCTAGGAAAAGAAATGGAAGACACCGGAAGACAAAAGGACAACGCAGCAAACATCATATTTCACTGTCGCTCCCCTGAAGCTATAATCCTCACCCGGAGCGATGTGCGAGCGGGTTCTTCTATTCTCGCCCATTGCCGCTAGTCTGTGTCCTCCGATTCCGTTTTACGCGCTTCCATCGCCGCCCCAAGGAATAGGGTTATCGGGGTGAGCATCGTAACTAGTATCGTAGCTGGTCACACTTCCACTACGTCCGTGATGGGAGGAGGGTCTGTTGTCGCCGTCGTCCTCATCCGGGTTTCTACTAATGAGGGCAATTCGTCGTTAGAACTAAAGGCGTTCTTGGTGGTTTCCTCAATGTCATGTCCTGCCAGGCTAGGTCTTCGAATGGGGAGACGCTGTGTTGGCGGAAATACCAGGCGGCATAGCCCACGACCGCAGTAGCTCCAAGCCAGAAGATCCTGCATCAAGTTAATGAGGAAAAAATGGAACTGACGAATGAATGGTGTGCAAGGTGAGGGCGGTTTACCACAGAATCACACCGAGTCCGACAACTACTAAATCCACTATGAGCGCTTTCCACTTTTGGTCCCCTACCTACAGTGTCAAAGTGTCCTAAGGCGTGTACTTGTAGTGTGATTTAGTTCGATCTGTGATTTGTATTGCTGGACATCCCACTAATACATAAACAAAGGAGCAAATTGGTCGTCTGCCATCAGATGGGGCAGTCATTGCAGGCTAACAGATGCTGAGCATTTAGGTCAACAGTATTACCTACGACTGCGTTCTGGTGAGGAGCATGTAGGTCCACATTGCCAGAGATTTATGGTCGTCAATGAGGAAAAATTGGAACTGAGGAATGATTGGGGTGCAGGGTGGGGGGATGTTTACCACAAATTCACACTGAGTCTGATGCCTGCTTGGTTCACCTTACATTATTTGGGGGTCCTCACCGGTTCCAGCGGGGAACACCCTCCTTCTTGATCTTACACTTTTCGTCCTTCTCTTTCCCCTCTCCATCATAGATCCCGCCATTAGTGACCAGCGACAGAAGGCCGCAAACTAGAGAATCTGCGTCCAGTCAGTTTCCCCTCGTGTCATCGGCCTCTTGCATTAGCTCCACCACCGCTGTCGCTTGTGCTGATTCCTGGCTCTCCTTGTCGTGAGGCCCCGGGGACCCTGACCCGATTGTTGGAGTGGATCGCGGTGGTAATATTAGGTGAGGCGGAGGCAGTCGTATAGGTCGTCAATGCTGGCTAAATCTGAAGCCTTTCTAGGGATAGCAAATACCAAGGGGGGGGTCGGTTGTGGAAGTTGTGTTTAATGGGTAGAATCTGATGGGAATGGGCGGGTGCGCGACGAGAGGGAGGATGGATGGATGGAAGGAAATTGAATAGATGAACTGAGCCATGGGGTGATGTTTTTCAGTTGTTTTCTTGGGAATCTTGGCACAACAACCTACCCAAAACATACCGGTGTAGGTCTTGGCATTTGTCGGGTGAGTATATTGGTCTATATACTCACCCGACAAATGCCAAGACCTACACCGGTGTGGCATAGGGCAGCCCTATAGGGCATTTTTAGCAGTCGGGAGGAGGGTTACACACCCACAAATCATCATGTTCTAGCTAGCTTTTTTTGCATGTTTTACGGTACTTTTTTCACATATGAGCACGACATCAACAACCACCAATTAGATGAGCGAGCCACACACGATAATTGTGACATAGACCTCGGTTGTAACGTGTTCACGCCGGGGCGTTAATCACGCTGTCGGGTACAATAGGAGAGAAGTGATGCCTACCGGAGACTATCAACTTCTAGGCTCGCTAAGGGAGGCTTCGGTGGTGTAATAGGAGAATAAAGATAACCGTTCAACCGAGTATATTAAAATACTGTCTGTCGAAGTCTGCCGTTTCCAGAGTGGAAGACGGTGGTCTTTTTAAGTACATGTGTTTTGAGTACGATCATGAATTCTCACTCATGTTCTTACTCAATCAAAGCATAAAAATAACCAAGTATCAACCGATACTTAAAACAAGACATAAAACAAACTAACCGAGTACCAGCTCCGGTTACATCGGTCCTCTCGTTCCTCCTTATTGGTCTTGATCTTTCTGCTTTTTGATATCCCTTAGTGGGAGCAATAGTCAAGTCACGATCGGGTCAACTCTCCACTGGATTATAGTCAGTAATAACGACGGATCTTTTTCATGGTAAAGGGGGGATACGGCACGCGCAGCACACCATCCAATAAAG